TGGTCAATGGGGATTCGATCTCTTGGTCCCTGTCGTTCGGGGAGATATGGTGAACGCAAGCACAGTGACTGCGATATTTATCCAAGTCATGAACGACACGGTCAAAGATTCACAATGCACACGATTCTTCAAAGACATGGACCCGGCGTACACTAACTTTGTATCTCCGTTTCAAAAGTTTGAACACCCATTCATTCGCATTGTGATGGCGCTTCAGGGCTCACAGAGTGGGGTTATATCGCATATTCTTCCACCAAACGAGCGAAGTGACTATACAACATATGACATGGTGTGCCGAGGCCTCACACACGACACGTATAAAATCATCGACAGGGAAGACGAGAAAGACTGGAAAAGATGCCTGCAGATTTTAGGCGGGTACAGAGAGTATCTCAAGCGTCCGGATGGAACGGATATGAGCCCTGAAGAACAGATAGCGGTCGCTTCGATGGTCCCCGGTCTTTTCTCTGCAGAAGAATTTCCTTATACTTGGCTTGATGGAAAAGAAAAAGATGATAAAGGTGATGAAGATGAAGATGAAGACGAAGATGAGGATGAATGACTTGTATCCGGCCTAAATTCACTGACGCTAGGTACGAGTCGCTCAATCGCATTTAACCTTTCTAACTCATTCTTTTCTTTTTACCAGATAGTTTATGATCGTTGAATTTTGTATTCTCGGGTTTTGACTGGTCTGGATATCGCACTTGCCGATAACGGTGCCTACAATGTACCAACCTGTACCTTTCACTAGTTTATTCCTAATCATAGCAGAAGGTCATTTGACCTTTGTGTATAGACGCTACACGCTATTCTTTTACTTTCGACGCTGATTTGTACATTGGACAAAGTGCAACACCAGAGTGAGCGTCCACGACCATATAGCCCAACTCATTCTGAGTCTAGAGCTCATCTCGTCTTTATGGAAGCTTGACCGAGTCAAAGATAATGCCATGGTCGGCAGCACTATTTTAAGTGGCATCAATACCGGTCACTCCTATCTTTGCATTCGACAGTTTGCATTGGCATCAATTGGGCTACAGGTGAAATATGCTTTGCATAGACCACAATAACCCAGTTTACAAGGCGAAATGCTGGATAGGCGGTTTGTACACAAGACCTCACCAGCTGGTATTCGTCGCGTTCACCACTGTCTGGTATGGGACGACAATGGTACTGACATCCCTGCTCTCCCTTTATGTTCGAACCTTGTGGTCCTATCTAGTGTACTTGATAGACACACTGACACATACCTCTCCGGGCACCGGTTCCAGTCACGTGCTATCGATCTCTGCAGATTAGAAAATCTACCAAATATATTCGGTGCTATTAGATATCAAGGCTGGTCCTAAGGAGGGCTCGACTTGGTCTGAATCGTTATCGCTAATGAACGGAAGACTATAACTCAGGTCCTGAACTTGAAGCTCACTATTGTAAACACGCGAATCGAACAGTTCTAACTCCATGAGTGCTTTGAATACCCTATTATATCATTCCGGATACCTTTGCCCGAGGAACGGTTTGGTCGGAGTTTGAATAAACAATGGAGCCAACCACCTCCAACAAACGTAAAAAGCCCGACGACCAGGATCACCATCCCATCACTTTGAAGAGATTCGAATCGCCACGACCAGTTCAGAACATCTTCATGTCCAGTGGAGAAGCGTTTCCGAGCATACTCAGCCTGTTACACCCCTCGGGGAATCATGTGGCTGCACCGACAAGCACCGACAAGCACCAGGTGTCCTCCTTCGAATTCGGGGATATAGCACACTTGGCTATCAATCTGCAAAAGAAAGACTTACCAACCTTGAATGCGTTACTCGAGGACAAAATCTTTCGAATCGCCTTACAAGAACGAAAATTCGACTATATGGCCCTTAGTATTCTAGTCTTCTTCAAGCAAAACGCAGGTCTCGCGTTCAAACTCGGTATTGCTCTAGCGAATCTAGATAGTAGTAGCTCAGAATACAAGAAAGCTACATCCAACGAGGTGCTACAACGCACTTTGTTCGATGCATTGTCCAACGTGGCCCAAGACCGCAAAGTGGAAGCATGGAAAGCGGTTTTCAGTCATCGTATGCTCAAATTCTGAACCTATACTATCGGACCACTGACCATTTCTCTAGAACTCTTCCAACATCGACGCACTGTGGATATGCCCTGGGATGAGGAAGAGGAAGTACAAATGGAAGGTTTGTAGGATCATCTTTCATCGAATTCATAATAATTAAGCAAAACATCTCAGCTACACTCAAAGCATGGCGTGCGGAGTTCGTTGGCAAGAGCCATTGCGTCCTTTGGGAACACCTAGTGAGGTCGTGCTCAGCACCTGACAAGGAGAACATGTACGCTTTCTGTTGCTCCATCGTCGATTCTTCCGGAATGGGCAAGTCGAGACTGGTGGAAAAATTCAGTGAGGAGCACTTGGTGATTCCGTGCTGTCTTCGAATGGCAAGGGGCGGTGGGCAACGTTCCTCCATGAAATAATTTACTTGAACTTACCTCTTGAATAGGGTATCCACCGCCAGATGACGATGCTCGAGATTTTCTCACAGAAGACATATGGGGACAGAATGATTATAACCTGCGCGTGCGGTCATTCCTCATAGCACTATTCATAACCACGCGTCGTATTTTGGAAAAGCAGTATCAGGATGCGTCTACTACAGGAGAAGGCGTAGTTGCGAGATTCATGCATGACCTATTTGAGGATGGAGGGTTAGAAATGAGTCATGGGGACAAACGGCATGAGTTCTATAGGATTGTCGTGTGCTATGCTAAAGCAGTACGTTCACACCGATATCAACCTGTTCTATATTGATCATCAACTAGGTCCTTGGACAAGACCCTTGGGAAACCGGGTGTGAAGACCGATCACCCTCCCCAAAAGACCTGCCTCAAATCGCCGACGACTTTCTCAAATATCTTTCTAGGCTGTTTGGAACAGACACAAAAGGCCCTTTTCTCACCCTCTCATGGGACGAAGCCCATGCTCTTACCAAACGAGAGTATAATAGATCAAAGGAGACGTATTGGACCCGATTAGATGAATTTCGGCGAGTGCTTAGAGATTGTGACCGGAGCGGTAGACTATTCTCTTTGTTTCTCTCCACCAACCCCAAGATAGACGAGTTCTCTCCCAAGTCGCCTGCAAGAGGTGAACGAGCACTATACCTCCCGGATCCCTTTATCACCCTCGATTTTGACCAAGGCGCACATGGCCTGGTAAACCCAGAGAGTGGTTTCAAACTCTCAGAGGCTATACAGCCGCAGTGGATTGTAAAGTTTGGCCGACCTTTGTATGTTTGGCATCTCGCTTTGACAACCATTAACCTTTTGGCTAGATGGTATACTCGATATGAAAATGGCAACAAAACAGTGAAAACCCGTATCTTCAACTTTGGCATGGCAAAGCTACTTTGCAAGAGCAGCATTGATGAGAAAACGTTTCCAACTCGGCAGGATATCTTGGCGATCATGGGTCTTCGATTGGGCCTACAGCTCGGTACACAAGATGGATCTGGCGCGTATATTGCCCAGGAACTTGTAGAACGCCACATGCGTCTCATTGTGCGGTTGAATGCAAATTTACAAACGATCATGACAAACGCACCCTCTGAGCCCGTGCTTGCAGAGGCATCGATTCGATTAATGCGGCTTTTGACGAGATTCCGACCAGTGAAAGCTCTGCAACAACTATTCGAGGATCCGCTCCACACGAAAGGGGAGAGAGGTGAGTTTATAGCTGCCCTTTTGCTCCTATTGGCAAGAGATGAGGCACAACAAGAGCAAGAGGGGGGCTGCGCCAAGATCCCGGTGACGAAATTGTTGGAGAAATTGCTGGGTGAAGAAGTGCTTAAATTCTATCCTAATGTTTCTACACCAGAGAAGGAAGCCATGACGCTGGAGGATGCATTCAAAGACACATACGTGCACTTCACACACGCAATTATCGTACAAGGTCAACGCGCTCCGGGGAAGGACAAGATATGGTTGGTGGTAGCACGAGGAGGCTTACTCATTTGTGCCACGGATCAATGGGGATTCGACCTCTTGATACCTGTCGTTCAGGGAGACATAGTGAACGAAAGCACTGTGACCGTGATATTGATACGAGTTATGAACGACACAGCCAGCGATTCGCAATGCGTGCGACTCTTCGATGGCATGGACCCGACGTATACTGGCTTTCTACCCCCATTTCAAGAGCCGAAAACGTTTGAACATCCCTTCATTCGCATTGTGATGGCGCTTCAGGGCTCACAGAGTGGGGTTACACCGCATATTCTTCCACCAAACAAGCGAAGTGACTATACAACATATGACATGGTGTGCCGAGGCCTCACACACGACACGTACAAAATCATCGACAGGGAAGATGAGAAAGATTGGAAAAGATGCCTGGATATTTTGGGGGGATACAACGAGTATCTTAAGCATCCAGATGGAAGGGATATGAACCCCGAGGAGGCGAGGACGACCGCTTCGCGAGCGCCTGGTTTGTTCTCTGTAGAAGAATTTCCATATAAATGGGTAAAGAAGGAGGACAAAGGTGTTGAAGGTTGAGGATGAATGACTCGTAACGGATGCCGACCCAAGCCCGCTCCAAATCCATCAACTTCAGGTAGGAGTCTCTCATTCGTATTTTAACATTCTGACTCATTCTCGT